GGTTGCAGTAAATATTTGTACTCAATGCTTCACGCATATCTGATATTCGTTTCGAATCTACTTTGGGGTTCTCCCGGCAGTGAACCCATTAGGTTCTACTGCACTGGGAGTATGAGCACGTTCCGCTAGAGTTTTCCAGATGTTTTATGACACTAGTACAAATAATTATGAGCAGGAAAGTTTTGAAGTCTTAAATACAATTTTCATGACATTACTTGTCAGATATTTTATTGCCTTACTAAACGGAGTCTCTTATTCTCAAACAAATAAATAGTTATTATTCATAAAGTGTGAGAATAAAGACGTAAACGAATAATTAGAGGAAGTTTCTTCAATAGTGTTACGTGCTGACGGGAGTGTATGTACTCTCCGTAATGTGTGGAGTGACTCCTTCTGTTCGAAAGCTGTAGTGATGTAATTGTTGGCTCGAACTGCCAATGCTTCAATAGCTTAGTTTGCCGCCCGCCCTAGCAGACGCTCGGGAAGGAGTGAGATGTAGGGGCTGTACAAGAGGCGTGAGAGTTGGTTAATTATATATTTATTATACAATTTATTACACAATTTACATATGGATGTTGTAGAATCTTCTTGAATCTTATATGAAGATACGATTTCTTGATCGACTTCTTAAATAGGACGTGTCACTACACAAGATGCGTTGAAATCGTTGAATTGATGCAAATTGCACAGGTAAATAATTACTGCATACTTCTTGTTGGAGAGTGTGAGATAGTCTTGATGGTTGTTTTTTGCCGGTTCTGCCGCCGGCTGATAATAATTGAAGAGATAAAATGTATTAACGTATTTACAGCGATGTCGTAGTTTAATATCTGATTCAGCGATGAGTTGGACACAATTGCACGTAGCAAAGCGACTACGTGCGGCGTGACTTTTATGCTGACAAGGATGCACTATTCTTGATCTATCTTGCGATGAGAGGGACACGAAGCATGTGCGGCATGACTCCTTTACTCACCAGCATGCACTATTCTTGTGGTCTTGCGGTGAGAGGGATACGAATCATGTGCGACGTGACTCCTTTACTCACCAACATACACTATTCTTGCTTTGAATTATTAACACTTATTTCTGCGTTGAGTGGATTTTAGACTTGGTTTCCTTGGACAATTAATTTCTATTACTTGACCTTTCCCTAGACTGCCCACTCGAGCCTTTTCTTGACTTATCTCTGCGGACAGTGTCCTCCGCTTTCTTGGCCCTACTTTTAAGGTCTCTTGCCACGAGCCCCCACTCAAGGAGGCTCTGATCTTAGATTTCCAATCAGAGCGCGTCGATTTCCGAAATTATGTTAATTGTACACGCCAATTTCCCACTTCCGAGGAAATTAGGCATGCACAGGGAGATGTCAGAAGAGCATCTTTGGTGGCAACGCCTAAAGGGGAAGTTTTGTCCCCTCTCCTGGTGTTATCGTGATGGGGACTAATTCGTGGTCAAGCGTATTTGCCTAGCCGATGTGACCGGCAACATTTGGCGTACTTGACAACAATGCATAACATTCTGATAAAATTACAGGCACACGTGCGACGCAGAATGTCGAAAGTCGCGCGTGTCGAGTTTCGGGTTGCAACGGATTTTAAGAAATATTTTTCATTCAATTGTTTTGGAAATATTTTAATCCTCAAAATATACTCGTATAAACAGTCTCGTCGGGTTTTGATGTAAACTCGCAAGGGTCGTTTTATTGCATAAAAAACAATTGCTACATCTGCAGGTCAAAGGCCATAAATGGCTGTTTACGAGTTCACAGATGTACAAACCTTTTCGAGTCTCATGTGGTCTTGGAGAGACTTTCTTAGTTTTTCATATCCGTTCGATAATTCCCTCTTTATAAGCTGTTGAAGGTTTTTCTAGTAAATATAATTCGAGAGATTTTCTTTTCACTCTCGAACACCTTCCCTTCCGAGAAGTGCCGCTATAGTAGTGTGCGTGAGCCGCCGCTGTTGAACCGCTGCTGCCTAAGTGAGACTGGGTTGCTCCTACCTTTGTGTCGGTGCGTAAGAACTGCTGCTGTTGCACCTAAGCTTTCTAAAGGGGAACCGCTGCTGCTATCTTAGGATCGGTGTAATCCGTTATATATGTAGTAGGCTTCAATAGTTTCACTCTTGATTAAGTTAGCACTATCGCGTTATTCGTTAAGTTTAATTAGCGTATTCTGAATGTGCTTCACTATTTTATAGTCAAATTGCTTACTGTTTGAGCAATTACGTACGTGTGTATCTACAGTGAGAGATGACTGTAGGAAGAAGCTTGAAGACTGAATAGTGAGCTGCTGTGTTACAGCGTAATCGTTATTACGCTAAGCTGAGACAAAGACTCGCAGAGGACCGACAAAGACTGACTGGCGCGTGGCACGCGCAGTCTATAAGTATTCTCGTAGTAATTTTTTCGGCGCCGGTGGCGATCCGGTGTCTGTTACTATGCCGGTATTTTTTGTGACGTCAATAAGCATAGTTTTTGTGAGTTTCATTGTTATAAGTCTTCGAAATTCTAGTCCTATATTCGGGTTTTCGGCGTAGAAACATTACTCGAGTTCGTTGGCTAGTGTTTATAAACAATCGTTCGCGCGCTTATACCACTTCCACTTTTGTCTTCCGTTTTCAACTGTTTAATCCGTAACAAAAAGGTAATTTTCTTTTACTACTAATATATCGCGAATTGAAGAAACAATAACCTTTAATTCTATTCCTATATTTCGGAATTTGCAGTTATAGATAAAATTTCATATTCCTGTAAAATTTAATCTCTACACAATATAAATCATTTTATTTTATGTATTGCATTAATATAATTTATTAATAAATAAAAAAAAACAATTTTATTCGTTAAATGTATTGATTAATATGAAACATTTAAAAAGTTTATCATAAAATAACTTTTAACATAAAAACCATGCTTAAATATATCTTTTTAAAAAGATTCCACTATGTGTTAATTGCATACTTTTAAATTTTTTAAAAGAATTGAATTTCTATTTCAAAATTACAATATTTTTATGATTTTTACTTTTATATTGATCAAGAATTATGTATATATGTATATATATATAACTACTAATTTAGTTTTAAGTGAAAAACTAAGTGTAAATCATTTATATGAAAATCCCATTCATATAAAAATAATTTTTATAAATACTTTTTTATTGGTCCAAAAAAAAGTATAATTTCCTAGAGATTTATCACTTTTTAAATAGTGCTGTTAAATGAATGTTTTAATTTAGTTAATTTTTAAATTATGAGATAATTAAGAAGATACTGAATGTTTAATTAATGAATGTACTAAATCAAAATATAATTTGCTAATAATTTTTATATATTTCTTTTGGTAATATTAAAAAAAATTATTTTCCAATACTATTTCACTTATATTTCAAATAGATTGATGATTTTTTAAAAATAGGATAATTCTTAATAAATATATAAATTCTTTCATAAAAATTGTATTCATATATATATGTATAATTTTTTCCATTTTTTTGTAGTTAATTTTGTTATTCATCATTTATACTTTCACAGTTAAACATATAACCGAATTATTTTATTTTCTATATTAATGGGAATTAACAAAAAATATAATATGTATTAATAAATGACTTAGAATTGATAATCCAAGATCATTAATTAAGTGGCAATTGGTGGTTTCCTATTAAATATTAATATTATATATATTCTATGCATTTCATTACAAAATCAAATGTCATAATCGAGTATAGAAAAATAAAGAAATTGACAATATGCATATCCGTAAACTACATTAGCAAAATAAGTAATATTTCCAGAAGAAATGAAAATGATGGTACATCAAATTTCAGTGAGACGAAACACAGAAAGTACACTAAAATATAAAAATTATATAGAAAAAATCGAAAAAATTGTGTTCAAATATAACATGACTCGTTAAATAATATACTATATTGAAGTTACAGTATGCAATTATCCTCTCTTTCATGTCATTAATAGTAATTACAGAAAAGTGTATAGACCGTCCTATGATAGTTCAGAATGTTTCTATATAATTTCTCCATCAATTGACATAAAATCATGGGAGGATTATATATTTTAACTTTTATGTGCATTGAAGCTATATAATTTTAATTCGTAAATTTTGTCTTGATTCCAAATAAATTATTATTGATGGTAATAAATTATTATTCATGTTTAATATTATTCATGATTATAATAGTACTATTTTCTTAATATTTTTACAAATACTAATGAAATAAACATATTATCAATACAAAACATCATCATAACAATCATTATTATCACTTATTTAGATAATTTCTTTATCTATACTATAAATTTCTGGATGTAAATATATATGTGAGTGCCTTTTTTTGCAATTTGATTTCTAAAATTTTTTGTATTAGTATTGTATTAGAAAGATTATTAGAATAAAAATAATAAATGGCAATGAAATTTAATTGTTTCTTCATTAAAATGCTTCCTAAAAATATTTTCTAGTAGTAACGAAAAACAGCAAGATGGAATTATGCAATGCTGATCTTTTTGGTTTAATATGGATTTAATATTTTGATATTTGAAAAATAAAAAGTTAAATTTATTCTTTAATTTTGTGTAAATAAATTTTATATTCTTAAGGAGTTATGAAAATATAATATTAATCTTGGTTCTAAATATCAAAGCAAAGTCTTAATTTCTTATCAATAATGTATGAAATCAAAATACTTGCTATGGTTCAATTTTGTTGAATTTTGTTGTATTTTGTTCAATTTTATCTATGACAAATTACTTTTTATTAACATTTTAATAATGTAGAAAGTTAACACATATTAAAAAAATGTAAATAAAGTAAAATAATAAAACTACTTGGCTATATTTGTAATATCTAATTCACAATCAATGTCTAATAGAAGTGTTTTTACATCTATCTCAGCAATATTAAATTTAAATCGAATTTTATAATTATCGGTATGTCAATAATTAAATTATAAGATAAATAGTATTTTACCACATTCTTCCTCTGTATCAAGAATTAAATATAAGCAATTAAAAAATCTTTATATTTATATAAATAATTTTTTACAAAGTGCTGCTCTAAATAAAAATCGTAAAAAAAATTTATAAAATGCTAATAATTATCGAGTTATAATAATTTAAGTCATCAAAACATATAAGAATCATCATTACATTTAGTACTTATATGTTAAACTTTCTCAGTAGCGGAAAGAATATAATTCAATATTAGTAATTATCATCACATTAATATTTTAATGTAGTTGAAACATGCAACAGCCTACTATTACAGTATAAATTTGAACATATGTCTCTTCATACATGCTGTTACCAGTAATTCAAGTCATAAGTCAATCTTTTTTTGTTTGCGCAGATGATGCGGTTTGGCAAGAAACAAGAACAATCTCTAAGATTTTACAACACATAAGGATAAGGGTGATTTGTAGAATAATAAGTGTATACAATTAATTGATAAGATATACTTTTTATTTACAAGTCATGGTCATTATTATCTCACACTTCATATCTGTCATCACAGTATTCCACAATTTCTGTATAAACATATCTTAACAGGACCAGTACTAAGATTATTGAAAATATACAGGTGCTATTTAATCGCTAAATTCAACAACAAACTTTAAATGCTTGGCACACTTTATTCCTTCGACATGTAATATTTATAAAGTAATCCAATTTGTCCTTTATTTATACCACGATCTCTCTCCTTTTCATTGTAGATATTACAGCACATTCATTTCCTGCTTAAGTCATCCTTTATATATATATTTTTTTCTTTATAAAACTTATTTCTACCTCTCTATCGTTCTCGTATTCTTTCTTATTTTTTTGTATTTTTTTCTTTCTCTTTTCAACGTGTAGATTCTTCTATAATTGAACCTACAATTACACTACCGATACAAAATCCATTAATTTTTACGTTCAGACCTTTTTTCGATGAAATCGGAAGTTTTTTGCATTTTTAAGACATCATGATGCAAGATAAATAGTACTATATTTTACATTAAACTGTCTGTTTACATTATATCTTATTAGAGAATAATTCTATCTTATAATTTTTAATATTGAATAATATTACCATAAAATTCGTTTCATTAATATGAAAAATATACGTTCAATTAATTAACGGTATATAAGAAGCGATAATATTGCAAAAGTTATACTGTCATTTTGATAATTTGAATTCTGATAATTTATATTAATTTTTTTATAGGCTGAAATTGAAGAAGATACTTCATGTGCTGTTAATTTTTTTTCATCGACGCATAATGATGTTTCAAGTAAGAAAAAATGTCATCTCATTGAATCAAATAATAAGGAAACATTGGAAATGGATTGTGGTGGCTGTGGTAAAAGTGTGCAAGAACGTACAGTTATTTGTGTAGGAGGTCGTACGTGGCATTCAAAGTGCCTTAAATGCTGTGCATGTTCTAGACCTCTCCATGACCAACACTCATGTTTTCTTCGTAATACCCAAGTATATTGTAGGCAAGATTATATAATGTGAGTTTGTATCTTAAAATGTTAATTTATATATTTCAATTACAATAGAAGATATATGCGACGGAATATAATCTTCGTATTTTTATCAAATAATTCAGATGAAAATTAAAAAAGTTTCTTGCCTATTAATATCTAGTACATAACTTTTTGTATATTAAAATTATCAGTTTTTTTTTTATTTTAAATGTTTATTTATATATAATTCCATCACTATAATTAACTCATCTGCCATTTATTGAGTTTTGTTTAGGTAGATATACAATTGTTTAATACTAAAGTTCTTACAGAAAGATTATTCCTTGTCTTTTTTTATTTATTAGATTATATCAAGCATAAATTTTATACAAAAAAACCTTTTATTTACATATTCTAAAAGTGATAAAATATCTTTTGTCAAAAAAAGATCCTTTATTTCATTATCAATTATCATTAAAAATACATGTTCGGATATTTACTGGTGGTGAATTTTTCTCCAATTTTTAGTTGAATTGCCATAGATTTTATTACTGAAGTTTGAGCTGCGTTACAAATATTTAGTTCCAAAAATAGCTCTAAAATGTATTAGTCTATATTGTATAGTCTATTGTTTTTTATAAAGAATACATTATCTTGATAATTTTATGCAGTCTACAGAATCAAAACTAATTTATCCAAAGCATTCTTTTATTTAATCTCACAAATATTTAAAACAATATACAAATAAATGCAATAAACAGTTAAGACAATATACAAAAAACTTTATTTCTATCCACAATCAAATAAAAATTTGAATATTACAATTAAAAGCTTAGAATTGCATATTCCTTAATGTATGCACATATTTTCCAGATACTTCATTTCAATATTAAATATTTTTTCAATCGCCAAATAACCATCTTCATTCTTTCCGAATATGATTAATATTGTTATATCTTATATATTACATAAATAGCAACACAATTTACTCAATAGATATAATGTTATCAGAAAATGTGTTTGTTTTTTTTATACAGATTAAAAATACATTAAAATAATGTTTTAGTCAAGATAATTGAATAAGAATAAATCTTTTAAGTTATTTATCTTGATCCTTACTGAACTGGAGCACTAGAAAAATGTGTTGAAAAATTTATTTCTTCAATACAAGATTTATTTAAGAGAAATAAAGCATTAATAAATTATACTGCTCTATTTTATAAAATTTGGTGAATTTTTATACTCATGTTATATATTGCTGTTTCGATAAGTATTAAATATTATCTATTTACAGATTAAAGAATTTATAAGAAATAAAGAAGGATTTTTTAAAAAATATTATATTTTTAATGATTCTAAAGTACTAGCAATGTAGTTCGTGGCTGAAGAAGACGTGATCATCTTATAATAACTGCAGCTCTAAAGTGGCTTGAAAATATAGTTCTATTAGTTATGAGAAATAGAATAGCTTAGCTTTGAAAATATAGACGAGGATTACTTAAATTTATTATTTTTGGAATTCTTTTATTTGTAACCGAAGATGAATAAGTTTCATTGATATAATATTGATGATGACCAATTTGAAGAAAAATATGAAGGATTATCTTTTCTTACAGTAATTCAAATATTTGATTTGAGAATCCTACATCTAAGAACATATGGTAAAATATTGAAAGTTATCATTCGAGTAATTGATTAGATTATAAAATAAATTTTGTTTTGAAAAATATATTAGTCAATTGATCATGAAAATAAATTAGTAATGAAGGTGCTAAATCTTTTAAGAAGAATTTACTGCAAAATAGAATATATGTATAGCTAATACTCATTTTTTTCAATTTCTATAAAATATAATAATATAAGAACTGATTACTTATTTATATCAAAATGAATACTAATAATTTAAAATAAATGAAGGATTTATCGATGATTACTAAAGTGCAATCTAAAATTTTAAATGCATGATATTTTTGGCATTGGATACATCAATATCATTATTTGGTTCTTGAGCAATAATAGATGTAAATTGTATTAATATTAATTTGTATTATATAAGAACAATTATTTATGAAATTCTCATTATGGCAATATAATAAATATATAATAAATACAACTCTTTTTAGCAATAATAAGCAAAATGTATTATATAAACATTATAAATAATTGTATATTTAATTGCACATTAATTGAATTTTTATTCAAATAAATTAAATTAAATTAAGTCTTGAACTTATAACAAAATAAGTGTATTTATATTGATACATAATCATAATTTTCTAGTGGACATGTGTACTTGATAAGCATAAACATTCTGCAATTGATTTTTTTCATAATTTTATTATAAACATCTAAGTGAAATAAAGACTCATATAAATGTGGACCTCATTTTACATATTATTTTTATATAATACAAATGTATAATGAACGATTAAAATTTTTCTTAGATAATGAATGAGTATATAGATATATATAACCAAACATTTAATTAATTTCTATATCAATTTAACTATGAATAAATTTTAATAGTTAATAACATTGTACCTTGTACGGTTTCATCCTGTTGTTAATGTATTTAAATACATTATTTAAATACTCGAAGTACATTGTCGTAAATTAATTCTTTATTTATGACTTTATCTCTTTAGATACTCATTTTTTTAGACTAAATTATACTCGATCATTAATATGCCTGTTGTTCTTGATTTTTAAAACGAAATTGAAAATTTACTCGTCTACTTAACTAGGAAATATTTTAAGAACTTGCAACATGCAAATTTTGTCTTTTTTCTCGCCCTCTTCGCACGATAGTTTTTTTCCTTTGCGTTCTACCAAATATAAACATGACAATATACGAAGATAGTAAATCACGATTCTGATATAAGATTGTCATTTATGCTATAGATTTAACTATAAATTAGATATAAATTAGCATTTATTGTAAGCACAAAAATATATTTTAATTTTAAATCGAGCTACAAGATAAATATAAATATGTCTATAAATGGTGATAGCTTCAATATCCAAAATCTTTCTATTACGTTACATCTAATCGTAAAATTATTTGTTTTATTATCTTTTACATAACATTTTATGTACCTTATATTATATTTAATTATCATATTGTGTTATATTGTATTAATTATTTATTTTCTAAATTATTATGTAATGTATATTTCATTATGCTCAAATACATTCATTTAAATACAATAAACATTAGGTTATATATATATTTACTTCTTTGTATATGAAAATCCTGGTTCAGCTAAAATACAAACAATCGAATATATTGTAAGTATATTATTTTACATGTTTGAAGGATTATATAAATCAACAAACATTTGACTAATTATTAGTAATAACTTAAATGTAAATAACAATAAATATTATTTAATCATTATTACTTTATCAAATTATTAAAAAATAGAATTAAAATAATTATTTTATTTGATAAAATTATAATTAAATAACTTAGTGTTATTAATTTTTATATTTTCAACAAAATATTCTTAAATTTTTTAATAAGAAAAAATATATATTAATAATATATATTATAATATAAATTTTATATATTTTAATTTTCAGAACATTTGGTGCAAAATGTGCCAAATGTGGTCGTAGTGTTGGATCAGGGGATTGGGTAAGACGTGCTCGAGAAAGAGTTTATCATTTAGCTTGTTTTGCTTGTGATGCTTGTTCACGCCAATTATCAACAGGTGAACAATTTGCATTAGTTGAAGCAAAACTATTATGTAAAGCACATTATTTAGATATTGTAGAAGGAAATAATACATCCTCGTCGGAGGATTGTGACTCAGAACATGGTGGCAAAGGGAATAAAACAAAACGAGTACGTACAACATTTACCGAAGAACAGCTTTCAGTTTTGCAAGCTAATTTTCAATTAGATAGTAATCCAGATGGACAAGATCTTGAAAGGATAGCTCATGTCACAGGATTAAGTAAGAGAGTTACTCAAGTTTGGTTTCAAAATTCCAGAGCACGCCAAAAAAAACATAGTGGAAAAATAAAGAATCAAAATGAATGGTAGAATATAAGTAGTAATGCACCTATTATTTCATGAGAACTTTTTTAAAATTCTTTCATAAATAATATTAATATTCTACTTTTTAATGTTTTTTTATTATTTTTGATTACATTTAATAACTTAGCAATATATTTTAAAAATATATTTAAAATAAAATTTACTGTTTATTTTTTAATAATTTTTTCTATAAATTAGTTTTACTCATAGTAATTTAAAAATTCATTTTCGAAACAAGAGTTTTAAAACTTTTACATTTATTAAAATGTAATTCTGAATAGTATAATTTGTTAAATTATATTTAGTATGTAAGTCTTAAGTAAAAAATGAAAGTATCGAGATAAATTTCTTTGATTATTACTAATATTCTAAAACGTAAATATCCTTTTCTATAATCAAATTTAGTTCTTATTACAATAAATATTTTTATCTACTGATATACTATCCTATGAAATAATGTTTAACAATAAAAAACTGTGCTAACACTAAAATTTTTTTGGTATTTATTTAATATTAATGTGCATCTTAAATCATTTATTGCTTTTAAAATAAAATATATTCATTTTAAAAGTAGTTTGGTATTATTATTAAACGTAGTTTTATTTTCAATTACAAGATTTTTTTTATTTTTTAAACATATTTCCTTATATCAAATACAATTTTATGTACAAATTTTATACAATTAAAAGTTTTTAAATTACTTATATAAAAATAATGAATTTCAAATGCATGTTATCTACAAATATGAAAAACTCATTTCTTCTTTTTCTCTCTTATAAGAGCCTTATTCATTTTCTTGGAATTTTAAATATTTGGTTAATGTAGGAGTAGATCTTAGCTATCAGTCCAGTTTCCTTGACAATACTGGGACGCATATTATAAGAGATTTTATTTTTTCCACGCGCTCATATTGATTTACGTATTATTGGTTTAGCACATAAGTTGCCTATATAGCAATATTATTTAAGTAATACTCAAGTTATAAATCAGTTACACGTAATGAATTAAACGAGGTATAATTAGTATTTAAATCTAAAATATATTTTCAATAGCAGAGTCTTTATTATTCCAAATTAAAAAATATACATAAAAAATATATTAATGATCAACATTACTTAAAAATTTATAAATCAGCGATTGTTTATGATTTTAAGAGACCTGATAACTTATTAAATTTCCAAAATAATCATCAATATCTAATAATATGTCAAAGAACTTCTATAGATTAAACCGCAAAGTGCTTAGTTGATAAATTAAAATAAAATATATTTATAGTATAAATTCTTGCATTTGAAAATACATTATGCTTCATAATTGAACCACTGAATTATGTTAAATATTTACATATGTCATCAAAAGTATTTTACAAAAAATACAATATTTATTTCTTTGCTTCTATTATAATTTTTTATTTCAATTCCAGTAATAATTAATATCATACGTTTTAAATCAAAGTTTAATGAAAATATTGTGGAAAAGTGCAACATGTTTCATAATATGAACAAATTTTTTACATTTATAGATATTGTATAGTTAATTAGAATATATAATTTATGTAAAATAATCAAAATAATTTTATATTATTTCAATTGATTACGAAAATATTGAAAATTTAAAGATGATTCTACCTATTGAAAAATTTATGATATTAAAAATAGAATTTTTATTTATTTAGTTATTTTCACGGGTAATTATTTTGAATTTATTATTACTTAATAGTTCTTTATGTATACATTGATCAAATTTTATTTATTTATTATAAATTTAAAATTTAGTATAAATGTTTTTGATTATAGAGTATTATTCGTACCGATTAGCCATTCAAGAATTTCGCCTAATATTATTTTATTCCATGTCAGAAATATTTATGTATATATAATAGACTTGAATGGCAATAACAATTCACAAAATAATGATTTTGATCTATCATGAGATAAGAATCAAATACAATAATGAAAACTACTTTAAATTTGGTTAAGGTGCTCTATTTAATAATTTTAATATGATAAAGCAAGGTTGTAAGATTATGACGTCTTAACGAGTCAGCAAGAGGATTAAAAAGTAATTAACATAGCAAGCCCTTATCTCTATAAAACGTAGTGTAACAAATAAAAATGGACAAGTATAAATTCATTAAATATCGAACTAAGAAAAATTATCCTGATCTATTTTGAAAAAAGTTTCACTTATCTGGCTACGTTGGAAAGTACAGGACTCCGTAGTAATGATCGAAAATAATATATCTCAGAATTCTGATGTATAATCAATTATTGCATAATTTTTTATTCTCACAGTACAAAATTATAAATAAATTCAAACAAAAATGCAGAAAAAATGTTTTCCCATGTCCATAAATTACACAAAACCAAAATGTAATATAAAATCATAAAATATAAATCGGAATGATCATAAAAAGTGATATGATAATTTATTGCTAGGATAACTATATTAACAATGAAAAATTTGTATATTTTCTACTAAAATCTGCAATCAATAAAAACGATAATTAGATTTCGTAGGTTGTTATGATGAGTCCTGTGTTAAAGGATAATTATAAAGTCGATTTATATTAATTTTTAGAAAACTACGAATTGGTAATTGCTTATTTATTATAAATTATAATATTGAATTGATTAATTATATTATTTCTGACTAATTCATCATATTAGACTGTGCAAAGGTGTTTATTTGCTTTATCAATAGACCCATTCGTTTTTCATATGATAGAATTATCATTTGGAATGTAAACCTCTAAAAAATAATTTTATATATATTAACTCATGTTACGGATTGAAACAGTTGAAAGCGGAATACAAAAGTGGGAGAGGCATGAGCTCCCGGACAGTTTGTTTATAAACACAAGCCATCGAATTCCAGAAATGTTTCTACGCTGAAAACTCGAATATACGATTATAATTCCGAAAAATAATGCCAATGAACCTTCCAAGGCTATGCCCTAATGACGTCACGACAAATATCGGCATAGCAACAGACACCAGATTGCTACCGGCGTTGCAAACTACCGCGAGAATATTTAAGGGCTGCGCTGCACGTGAAGCGCTCAGTCTCAGTCTAGTAACAGTTACGCAGTCATCATTACGGGCTCACTATTCAATCTTCAAGCTTCTCTCTACAGTCATCATTCACTGTAGCGATACACGTACGTAATACTCAAACAGTAAACAATCTAACATCCAATCCAATGGTGACGCCACACTTTTAGAATCCGTTAACTAAATTTAAACTAATAAAGCGCTAACGCTAACATACTCGAGAGTGAAATTATCGAAATCATACTACTACATATATTAACGGATCACACCGACGACTAAGGCAGCAGCAACCCAGTCTCCTTTAGAAAGCTTCGGTACGACAGCTGCAGCTCTTACGCACCGGCACTAAAGCAGCAGCGACCCGGTCTCACTTAGCGGCGGCTTTCACGCATACTACTATAGCAGCACTTCTCGGCAGAGAAAGAGTCACTCCTCACCCTACGGAGAGTACGCACACTCATATAATTCTTAAATTCATTACATTCATATAATTTTTAAAAAGTATCAATCACGTCGTTTGATGATAAATATTATACAATTTAAGCTATTATAATTACAACTTAGAATCCTTTATACAGTTCTTAAAAATACTTATATATATTCATAATTTTATATGTAATGAAAATATTAGCAATTTTGATCAATGTAAAGAATTAAAACTTAAATAAAATTCTAATTAAATACACTGCATTTGTTATTGTACAAAATGTTTTTGCTGAAGAATTTTCAAATTGAACCAATAAGTTAATAATTCTATTTATAACAAGAATTATAGTATTAATTTTCATAAATAAAAAATAATTATAAAATTAAATAAATTTTAAAACAATATTTATAATTAATTGTTATCATTATATTTTTATTACAGGATTATTTGCAAATACGTTTTAAATAACACAATAGTAAATAAAATTATTGTTTAATTTGCAAATCTAAATATTTTATTTCTGAAAATGTTTATATAGACTATATTTTCATTAATATTTATTGACTCCATAATCTTCGAGAATTATATTTTGGTGGTAATAATGGTTCATCGCGTGATACAGGAGCAGCATAAACAGGAAACTCTATAATGTTATATTTTGGTTTTGGTCTTGATGAGTCATGAACTTTAACTTGAGCGTAGTAACCAAACATTGGTCGCTCGATATTGAGATTATTTAAAACACATTTGTCAAATACGCTTTGTGTTTTACGACAGCTAAAATAAACAAAAAATTAATAATATTATTAAAGTCACATAATTTGTTCGAAATTTACATTGAATCTGTATTGAAATATAATAATAGGAAATGGTAATAAAAATGTAATAATTCCTTATAAAAAATTATATTATCCAACTTTTTATGGCAAATTTTTCGTTATCTATGTTGCTTAAATTTTAACTTAAACAATATATTGTTTAAAATATTATTATAAACAAATTATTGTTTAAATCAAAAAACGCTACAAGAATTTTTTTCAAAGTATATATTTGTGTATAAAAACTAGAATTTACGTAGATTTCTTCGTGTACTATTAAAAAATCCATTTTCAATTAAGATAATATGCTCGGAAAAAATAATAATTATCATTTTTATATTACAAGTACATACAAAATTTTATTATTTTACAAAAATTCTGAAACAACTGACAATTGAAACTGTTCAATAAATCAAATATTTTGTGTAAATTTTATATAATTTATGTATTATATAAGTCCTCGCCTCCATATTTAAGCATTTTTCCCCTATAAAAAATGTTTAAATTTTATAAATTAAAACTTTTTACGAATATTTTTTATAAAAAAATCTAATGCAAAGTTGCATTATTGTAGTTATTTAATTAACTATTAGTTCGATATTCAGAGAATCTCTCGAATGTTATCATTTCTAGAAAAACCCCAACAGCTCTCATTTCCGGGAAAATCCAACGGTCATTGGACATCCGGAACAGCAGTTACATAAAAAAAGGAAAAAACCAAGTGCACACTCGTTTCCATTGTTTCTCGTACCACAATCGCATCCATTGTTTTTATCACCACAATCGCCTTCATTGTTATCAACTAACAAAGCTGCCGCGTGGATATTTAAGATTAGCGCACCACTAGATGGGCTAGTCAACCACTCAGGATCTACTCGCATAATATCACGTCTTCAGTATCGAACTGCAAACTTAATGGCCAACGCACAAAGCATTTGCAGGTAAACTCTCCACACTCAGGAGATACTCGTGTATTTCATACAAATTTAGTATCTAACTGCAAGCAGCGTGTCCAAGTGGACAAGGCATTTGCGGATATCAAACTTTTTTTCATATTTCCACTCTACAAGACATCCAGGATGAGACTACAATCAGGCGACCACCGCGTGGCAACAACCAAGGAACAGCAAATCTCAAAGATTCTTATCGTCCACGTAGAATCATTATAGTGTAGTTGTAAAAACAAACGCGATAACAAGCACGAAAAACAGATGTGTTGACCACTGAATTGAAGCGCTACCCCTTCCACGTATCCACACTTCGAACACAGAGAACGAAAGGCAGACACCGACTAATTATGAAGTTCGAATTTTCAATAACTAAAGTGTTTAAGTAAAAGACAAGCAAGGCATTAAAAATAATTTATTCACAAACAAGTAAAATAAAATAAAAATCGTACGAGTAAAATAAAATTTGAGAGGATAAAGACACAAAATAAGAGCACATTTGATAAATATATATAATAATTTTGAAACATTTACATTGTTTAAAATGCCATTCATCTGATGGTCGAAGGACCAAGATGATTGAATTAGAAGACTATGGCTACCAGTTGCTTGGTGGGAGAAAAAAGTACCGACAAGTGGAAGGGATAGCGCATTAATTCAATATTAAACACATTTTCTTTTCGTGTTGTTTATTGCCTTTTATTTTACACATTACACAATAATGATTCTAAGAAGGTGATGAGATGGTTACCACGTGGCATTAGCATACACTACATACAGAGATCGGAGGTCGTAAATCTCTAGTACTTCTTTATGTAGTGCCACGTGATTGTAACTTGTTCAGGTCTCCTCACTGGAGGCCTTGTTGGGATTGTGCTAGACCCACTCTTATAAGGACGGCCTTCTTGGCCGTGTGCTAGACGCACTCTTATAAGAACGACCTTGTTGGCCTTATATCGCTTCTATATTAGATGTTTGTGGTACTCACAGAGATGCGTTACCTTGTCTGATCTTGTGATGAATGCCTTAATATTGCGCTTCTTGTAATCGTGTACATTCTTGTAATGCAGTCAGCACCCTTGACCGCTTGTTAATTGTTGCGCACTAGAGAATTGAACTACTTATATTATAAATACTTATAATGGCTTCACTTACTTAGCTGACAACAATGCATAGGCATTGCTATGCGGAAAGTTTTGTATGGCGTCAGAGATTAAAGCTCTAGAACTTTCAAGAACTCCAGGAAAACAAAGCTTTAGAAGGTTGGAGAATTCAAACCGACGTTGCTATGCGGAGACCAGATAAACATTATAGGACGTTCGAAAGTAAAGCTTTAGAATGTTCAAGAATTCTCAGAAGCAAATGTTTACAAAAATTCGAGAGCTAAAAGGCTTATACTTCTCCGAAAGTCAATGTTTTGGAAAATGATCCAATACCGAACAAGCTTTATTACATTTTTTTATATAATATAGTATTGTAAAATTGTATTGTATTCTACAAGAGTAACAATATCATTACATTTTATATAATTTTAAGCTCTTTATAATTAGTAGTTTTGACAATTATTGTTTAATAAACTAAATATTAAATAATTTTATTTTCAATTCTTTATTATCTAACTATATTAGCAGATAATCTCTTATTTCCAATGGAATATCGCATTGTGTACTTTCATACACATAAAACAGTGTGTATGGTAAAAATTGAAGCAAACGCAAACATTTTTGTGGTTTAATTTAAAATGAAATTTATTTGGAAAATTATTAAATCATGATTAAATTCAACCTTGTAAATAATAATAAATTATTATTTATATATCAATCGTATATTTTCACCTTTGTTTTATTTTGCAAATAAAATTAATTCTTTTTATGCTTCTATCTATAGACATTATTTATATTTACTGAAAACGAGAAAAGATATTCCACTCTACATTTTTGTTGCAGAACTGAACGATGAATAAATTGATTAGTGTAATTAACTGTATTATTAATTACAAGTAGTTAAGTCTAATATTAATGATTCTAAAAAAAACAAATACCGTTTGTCATAATTGACTTATAGAAAAAATTCCATATAAAAAAAAAAACCCCTTAAAAATATTTATGCTATAAAATATTTTACGATATTTATAAAGCATTATTGTAAAATATTACTCTCCAGTGTAAAATGTTTTAAAGATAATGAAACATTTAATTATGTGAAAAATCAATTACATCACATGAATAGATCATAAGAAATTTATTGAATTTAAACATGACGGTATAAATAATGCTGTTTGTTACGAAGTGTAATATGAGTATTTCTCAATTATCATTAAAATTCATGTATACAAAAATATATTTTACATACGAAATTTTAATATAAAAAAGCTATGTCAATTTAATGTAACTTAATTCTAATTAGATGCATTGAATTAGGTTATGGGTTGTCTCATTATATAATCTATCTATAATTACCAATTTTGATATATATTAAATTAAATTCATAATAAAAAGTTAAAATTGAGCAAATATTCTAAAGAAAGAATTGTAATGAATATAGATATGAACATCTATATATATTCATTTAAGGAAAATAGTAAGAAAAACTTAAGTTAATTAAAACATTACTGAATTAAAATATAGATTTTTACATATTAAAATTTTCAAAATTAAATCAACCAAATAAACACGGACAACTATCACACAGACAAAATATAGTTGGTTAACAACCATTGAAATTCAGTTAAATTAAATAACTTATATAATTTCTGTAACGGCAATCGACAAATAAAAAAACCATTTTCAATATTTCTTGTAATTATAAAGCACATATCAAATTGCAACTTCAATCACTCAACAAGTCTGTCCATTTGAAATTTAACTACTGTCAACATCATTATCATACTCATAGGAAAAGAAAGTCTTAAAAATAATAGTGAAGAATAAGTTAAGTGCATATTCATAAGATTTTAAAGTAGATAAGGGTAATAACATTAGATATAACACATTTTTAAAATGTTATTTTTTCTTTATAATACAATTTAATTACGATTTTATTATTCTTATACCATATATTTTATTTAATAGTATAAAATTATCTATACTTATATTTGTTAAATGAATAATTAGTAACTTCCGCATCAAGTGCGTAAGATTATTTATTATGTAAATATGAAACTGAATATGAACCCATAAAAATAAGTTTCGTCATATTTTATAACTGAACTGTCAATTTTTTTTTTAATCTACTTTTTACTAATTTCACGTATTCTGTATTTTTTTGTAATATATATATATATTATTGGAGATTGTAAGAACGGTCCTTGCCAATAAAACATCTGGCAAAACAAGATAATAAACTCAGGAGAACCCAACTCATTAGGCATTTGTACGGATTCGCTCTCCTCCGTAACTACATTCAAAACGGTATATACCAGCGAACCCCCCCTTCCCTCTGTCGACAAGTTGTCGTACTGCTGTCATACTGTCGCCAGATGCGTCGTAAGCAACGAGAGCTCTTCATGCCGTGAAGACCAAGAGAAGACTACGCCTCTACTTAAATATTAAGTCACAAGAGGCGCTGCTCTCGCTCTATAAGTGAGGAACACTCTGATTGGACAGAAAATAAGGGAAGGGATTCAAGTGAAGTTCATGACCAGCAAATTTATTTAAGGGGCACATTTTCAATATTCAAACATTCTCGATACAGTACTTATTCAAATAAGAAGTGAAGTCCCTTTTAACGTAGTTTAAGACAACTGTCGTTACAAGTCCTAAAGGACAGGAGACGTATTCCCTTATCGGAGCCCGAAGACAAGTGCCAGTCGAGGTCCTCATCAAGAAGCGGAAAATCCCTCTACTGAGTTTACTAGTAGTCTTCGTAAGTAGTATCACTACTACAATAATACTACAATCTACTATAATACTACTACAATTAACTCGCGTTTAAGATTCAGAGATTAAGTCATCAACTAGTATCATAAAAAATTGAGGCTCTCACCAGAGAGACAGCGTGGAATATTTCCAAACGCGTCGTCAAGTTCGCCCCAAGTGATGCGAGTCTTGCCGGCCTACCCTCACCTTAGTTCAAAGTCTGACGCTTAATGATCTACACAGCGTACCATTCAACGCCCATAGCAACCGCAACACGTAGCAGTATCCTTCACGAGGTAAAAGCCTTTCAAACTCTTACTTCCAACTGAATAACTATTGCAGTACGCCAATATCAGGACTAAGGTACGCTTTCTACGATCCGAGCATATTTTCAGTAATAACAGTTACATGTGTCGCGCTACATTACAACCATAACCTCAATTACGCACGTGCTCACATAAACAGCGCGAGTGTCGACGAATCAAACTTCGCGCCATTCTGCGCTCATATTCGAACCATCAAGCTGCATTAATGAGTGTACGTTTGCCACAGCAAACGCAATAATACACCACAAGAGTTCAATAATTGATAATAGTAATACTAGTCAACGTCCTGTAATCGGATAAATAACAGAATAAACAGCATATACCCCAGACATATTTATATTGAATTATTATAATATCCCTTCCACTTTGACCTTTTGTCACTATCACACAACATCCGTGGTAACCGAGTTGTCAACGGCATCAATTTGTACCCCTCGAACTGGTCTTGGTAAAGCAACGCGGAACGGCGCATACATTTTGTATAATATATATATTTATATGCATATAGATTTGTATATTTACAGGTTTGTATTTTACATCAGTTTTATTGTATTTCTTATTAATATCTTTAAGACAACTAATATAATTTTATGAATTGAGAATCTTTGATGATATCTATAAAGTATAAATAGACTGTATGTGCTAATAATAACCATATCTCTGTCACTTCTGAGATATAGTACTATTATATTTTTTATTTTTTCTTTTAACTTAATTTTAATTTTTTTATTTAATTTCCATTTTCCAAAAATCTATTTTTAAAAATAGCTCTGATGATTTCATTTTAATAACAAAGTAGTTTAGTTTAGTCTATACTATTTAAAGCGAAATCAACTTAATATTTATGACTAAATAAATACCTTCAAGTTATGGGTAGATATAACACTAATAGAATTTTGTTGAATAAGCGATTTATTGCTTAAGTAATTTTTTTACGTTAAAATCTTTGGTAAATAATTCAAATTATTTCGATAATTTAATTGTTTTATTAGATAACACTTTTAATTTATCGATACGGTATAAATGTAAAAAATCTCGATATTTCTTAAATATAAAATTGTATCTATTAACGATTATCACGCTTCTATTTATTTAAATTTTTAAATAAAATGAAATTAATACAATTTTTAACATTGAAAATCATTTAAAATTCCAATATTAACATTCTATGGAAATGACAACTTAATACATTGAGACTATAGATTTTGTAGAGATACCATAAATTTATTTAACTACATTTTTCAGTTTTTTTTTTAATTTGTGATTATTATATTTTATGATGTGATAATATCTGTTTTATAAAAAATCACACCAAATTTGCTACAACTTTAATAAAATTCAAAAACAAAAATTCTATACTTCACTATTTTATGTGTAACTTTATTTTTTATATTAAAATGTAATGAAAAATTTACTTTTACATTTGAAATATAACTTCAAGAAAAAAAAAGATAAACAATTAAAAGAAAATTATAATAGAGGACTTTTACTTAGTACATCAGTTTTTGATATATAATATTGAAAATATTGAGATCACTATCATTCTTAGTATAAATAGAATAACTTACGGATTAAACCGATAATTAAAACTTGCTTTATCAATGCAATTATAATATTGACTAAATTCATCTTTACAATGTTTTTTAAGTTGTTTAAAGAAATCAAGAGTACAGGCTGTAACTAATTTGCCTTCTTCAATACATTCACGAGGATCAGATTGTTCACATTTGCATAACATAAATTCCTGAAATTTGTAAAAATTATATATGTAAATACTGAACATGTTACTGTAAAATAGACTAATAAATAATATATAATAAAATACTATTAAAATTTAAACAATCCATTTTTATAAATTTAACAAATCCAATATGTATAGTTTAGCATTTTCATACAAAAATATACATATTTTACATATCACTGAAATTTAATTTACGTTGAAGACTCACAAATTAAAATTAAACTATTAGACTCCAGCAACTAAGCACAGATTTAATAAACTTCTTCAAGTTTATGCAGTCTCTTTTTTTTCTTCTTTTATTATGCTCAATTAAATAAATATAACATCAATCATTATTTAAAATATATTACAGAATTTCATTAAAATTGTTATTCCAATAAACAATTTATCTTGAAATATATCATACAGGTAATTCTGACACATACTGATGATGTAGGTGCATACTAATTATTATTTTTGGTAAAAGAATATAATTTCACATTCATATTAATAAACTAATTTTTATATATTATATATATACTACTATATATACTGTAATACTATAAATGTCAGGATTACTCATTATTTTAAGAATTTAACTTATATTAAATATCTAAATAATTCATTTGTCTTCAATTCTAAGAGTATAATTTAGGGTCCTATTCTAAATAACATCTAGATATCTCTAAAAAGCTACTCTTGAAAAATAACTATTTTGTTTACCTTTTATAGATAGTATTATTTGGTATTAGATAAAATAATATTTCAATCTTTAATTAAAGAGAGATTCTAATTAAACACATTAATTAATACCATTTTTAGGTGAAAATTTTATTATTTTTTATATTACATAACTGTATACATATCTTGTTAAATATTTGAAAAGTATTTTTAACAATTATATATTCTATTTCATACAATTTTAATTATTTAATTAAACAAATTTTCATTGAATAATCATCATTATTTAAAATATATTCAAATTCACAATATCAACTAATCAAAATTTTAAACTCAATCATTAATTTTTATAATAATCAAAATAAATTAAAATGAAAATCAAATAAATAAATTTGTCACTAATTTGTTCTGGTATATTCAAAAATATATTTATTATTTCATTATACAGATACATATATTTTTTATTATTTTTCCTTTTCATAAATGTCAAATAATTATATAAGCCTATTTTAATATATTGACTTTCAAATTCATATATCGCTTATAATTTTAATTGAGAAGGATTTTAAATCAATTTTCGCAAGAAATAACTCTTCAAAAAACAATACCACAAGTTTATCAATTTAGAAAGAAACCTATAAAAGTTAAATACAGCAGATTTTTTAGTATATAAGTTATGATTTAATTTAATTCATCATTTAATTATTTAATTTATAGATGTTATCAAACATATTAAAATATGTCATTATTAAAAAAATAATAAGTGCATAAAAATGCATACATATAAATATAATTTGTTTGATTATGTAAATTAATATCATATTAGTTAATATTTAAATACATTAAATTTATTTATATATATTTATATAATTTTTTAATTATTTTAATTATTTTAATTATTTTAATTTTTAATTATACATGCATAACGTAAATTAATTGAAATGAATATAATTATGGAAATTGTTATAATAAAATTTATATTTTTTAAAAATGGTTTATACACTTATAATGCCATCTTATATACAATTTAAAATTTACATAAATTTATAAAATAAATGTATTATTTCATTTCGTTTCATTATATATATTTTTAACCTTAATAAAAACTTTTTATAGATTTTATAAAAGTCAAGATCTATAAAAATAATATAAAACTTAATTGTATATATATTTTGTTTTTTATATATTTATATATCAATTGTATATATACTTACATTATTTTTGAATTCGCAATATTTTCCTAAATGAAATGCAGCAGCTTTTAGTACAGGATAGGTCAAATTTACTTCATTTACATTTAATTCATCAACACTAGGAAGCACAATACTTTCCGTTTGTACCATTTTGTATTTAAAAAGTTATAAAATTATAAATAGAATTATTATAGAATTATAAAAATGTATGCTTTGATCTAAATTCAAAATTTAATCCAATTAATATTAAGGTAGAACAGTAATCTGTCTATTGCTATAATATACACCCCCCTTTTCCAGTGTTTCACAAATCTAAACTATACCAGAGAATCACGACTTAATTTAAATAATAAAATGTACGAGTTTAATTTCGAAAAATATATATTATACATTATAGGTATTTCTCAAAAATAGTTTTCTAAAACTAAACTGTACGACTTATTAATTTGATTATATATCACATTTACTTCTATAAAGGTTTTTATAAATTTCTACAGGTATACAACAATCAAATTTTAAACAATTTGTCATCTCACCGGTGAATGAATGCTTTTGTAAGAATATTTTATGAAGTATTATTTTATTATTAGGCGTGAATAGAACATTATTTATTTTTGCAATAGAAAATTAGTTCAACAAGCGAACATAAAATATTTATTTGACAGGCACCGTATCAATCTTGGAAGTTTGCAGCGTACAAGCAGTTATCGCCATATGCGCTGCGCATAAAACAAATTGTCTTATTGGCACTTGCAAATGTTTGAATTGTAATATTTTGGGAAGTAGTTAACTAAATTATAAAAATAATAATGATGATACGTAGCCTAATAATATATCTACAATGATATATATTTCGAATCTTTTGTACATGTGAGTGATATATAAAATATTTAGTTCATAAGAGAAATACATAAAATAATTGTTTTTCGTTTATCTGATTCTGAAAATAAAAGTGTTTTGCGTCATCTACGTATTATTAATTAATATAATTATTTCAACAATTAATAACAAATATTATTTATATTAATATTTTAATTAATATTTATATTTTGCAAAATCAATTACAAAATTTGTTCATAAAAAAAGAGCAAAACCTAAATATATTGTTTACGTTGGTTTATATATATTAAATAATAATATAAAATAGATAAATAAAAATGTATATTAATCTCAGCATACCGATATTTAAATTTTATGTTAAGAATGATAAACATATGCATGATGATGGTATTATTATAATATTTCACTGGTTTATTACTACATTTTATTTATCAATATTTTATAATTACAATTTAACATTAAAATTCTGAAATTATTTATAATTTTTTATAAATTTTTATTATTAAAAAATTCATAATATATTATTTTAACAACAAATAAAGAATAAATACCAATGAAAAATATTCATTATCATAAGTTTTTAATATATTTAAAATACACTCCCTTACATAAATAAATATATACATATATATAAATTATTCTGTTATATAACAAGTGTTACCAATTTTTTTTATAAATTTGCTCTTAAATTTATGAAAACTTTCTTTTCTGGAATGCAATTGATTAATTATTATTTTTTATCTTTAATATAATATTAGTTAAAATATTATACTCCTTAAATTTAATATTTATTTAAATTTTTGTATGGCCAATTTCTCTGAATACTTTTTCAATTTATACATATACATGATACATTCACATATACATGATTTCAAATAAGAATAAAATTTTTCAAAAAGTCTTAAGAAAACGATTAGTGAATAAGTATCACGTACATAACACTATTTTATAAAAAAAAAATTATATAAAACGATTGGAATTGCTCCAAAAATTTTCAAAATAATATAATAAATCTTTGATATTTATAGATTTAATATAGTAGATGTTATAGAGAACAAATATATTAGTGCTAAATATTTCTAATATTAAACTGGAAATTCAGGGATTCGTATACACATTGATTAATAACTTCTGCTGCAACCCAAAATTATACCTGTAAGTAATAGGCGAAGCTCTTAAAGATATTTTTATTGCTATGCAAATTGTTAATATTATTAAAATAATATTTTACATTTTGATTTTTTGCTTTATTAAATTATTATTTTATATTTTATTATTTATATTGAAGTATTTGTCTGGGATTTGAGGTTCCGGGCACGTATCTCCATTGTGCTTCTGCTGTGAGTTCTTGGATTTGTGTGACTCTATTGCAGATAAATTCCTTCCATTGTGATGGGTGAGCTTTGATCCAGGTCAGGGTTACTCGTGAGTCCGTCCATAGATGTGTAGCCCTTATCTTTAATTTCAGTGAGGTTTTGATACGTGCTATGAGTTTTGATAATAGTAATGCGGCTACTAGTTCTAATTTTGGTATTTTTAGTTTTTTGAGTGGGGCTACCCTTGTCTTTGAACATATGAATGCGGCGGTCGGTTCCTTGTTTCCATTGTATATTGCCATGTAGAAGACGGCAGCCAATCCATACAGCTCTATGTTGGATGATTCCTTCGTTTTGAACCATCGAGGTATGGTTACTTCATTTAGTGTTTGTAGTTCTCTCCTAATGGTGTACCATCGGTTGACGACTTGATTTGGGAGAGGGTCATCCCATCTGATTGTGTGGAGCCATAGTTCTTGAAGTAGTATCTTGGTTCGTATTACTACTAGAGATGCGAATCCCAATGGATCAAATATTTTTTCAATGTCAGAGAGAATGGTGCGTTTTGAGAAGGTGGTTGCTTGGGAAGCCAATGATGTTGAGAATGAGAAGATATCTTCGTGAGGCCTCCATTGTAGTCCTAGAATTTTGGTGGCATTTTCGGTTAAGTTTCATGACTGTTCCGGATTCGGTGGTGCCTTAATGGCGGTGATTACTTCTTCGTTGGTGGAGTGCCATTTTGCCAATGTGAATCCGCCCCCCATGCAGAGGTCCCTTAATTGTGTTGCTGTCTCCACTAATTGGCTTAAATTTCCGCACCTCCAAAGATGTCGTCCACGTATCTTCAGAATTTGATAGGGGGTACAGAGAGTGGGTAATTCTCTCCTTTGTCCTGTATAAGTTGAAGGAGTTTTCGTACAGCTGAGAATGGGGCCGCTCTGGTCCCATATGTAACAGTAGTTAATTGATAAACGACTTCGTTGCCCTGTTCGTCTATTCACAGGATTCGCTGTAGATCCCAGTCGTCTTGGTGGACCAATATTTGTCTGTACATCTTTGTGATGTCTGTGGAAAATAGGTACCTATGTTTGCGTATCCAAATTAGTACATCTACAATGTCTGGATTTAGGTTGGCGCCAGTGTACATTATGTCATTTAGTGATCGTCCTGTTGATGATGGGCTTGACCCGTTAAAGACGACTCATAGCTTGGTAGTAAAACTGTCTGGTTTTAGTTCACCATGGTACAGCAGACAGTACGCATTTTGTTGGACGGGTAATTTGCTTGTAGTCTGCGAATATGATTCATGTTCTCGTATTTGTCATGAATTGAATATATAACGAGCGATAATGGTCGTCTTTTATGAACCGTTTTTGTAGGCGTAACAGGCATTGATGGGCCACGTTGTATGAGTTGCCAAGTGTTTCTGGTGATTTTGAAAGGGGGAATTTTACCATATACCTTCCAGTGCCTACGTGTGCTTGGTTCTTTATGTAGTGCTGCTCACACAAGACTTGATGATATTGTTTTATTACTTGCCGATACGTGTCGGCTCTCAATACAATGTCTATTGGTCTGGCCTTAGCGTATTCTTGGTCGGCCAGTGGCAGTCCCTGGATGTGTGGCCATGTACATTGTAGAAGGTCGTGGGACGGTAGGAGTATGTATAAGGACTTGAGTATGTGAGCATGAACAATGATTGATTCTCGTAAGTGTAATGATTGTATGGTGAGCGTGATAGTCCCTAGTGGTTGGATTGGTGAAGTCCTGCCAATTCCATGTACAAGTATTGCAGACTTTCTGGAAGTCACATGAAATTGTCGCGCCAACCTTTCAGTGATGATTGAAATTTCAGAGCCAGTGTCTATGAGCAAACGAGCTTGATGTGTGGTCGATTGTCTGATTACCTTGACTACCGCAGTAGCTAGCAAGGTCATTGGTTGCTGGTGCTCGATTGCACTGGTGTGCTTCGTATCTAGTCATGTGGTGTGTAGTGACTGGACGGTATCGTTTGGTGTGGTGTCTTGTGCATCATGTAGGAATGTGTGGTGTGCCTTGTGGCATATGTGGCACCCTCTTTTGATAAGGCATCGTTGTGGCAAGTGGTCACCAAGGCAGTTAAGGCATCGCCTTCTCTCCTTGATCATAGCCAGTCTATGGGAGTGGCTAAGCTGCTTGAATTGACTACACCTCCAAATTGGGTGCCTTTCTTTACAATGAAAGAATTGCAATTGTCTGTTGTCAAATTTTCTAGTTTGGCTTGGTGATTCGTGTGTAGTTGATGACTGGTACAATCTTACAAATTTTTTGTTGGGCGCACGGGGTTGAGCATGTTGGGGTGGCGATTGGATTCTTTGTGCCTTTGCCATTGTTACGTTTTCCGGAGCTCCTATTCGTGCCATTATGAATTGATCAAATTGTACGAATTGTGGGTATGAATTATTGGTTCCCAGTGATTGTTCCCACGCTGTTTTTACTTGATCGTCTACTTGTATTAGTGCCACATGCATCATCAGTGCGTCCTATGCGTTTGGGAGATCATATTGTACCATCGCTCCTAGTAGGTTGCGTAATTTGCTCATTAGAGTTGATAATTCTGGGGCTTCCCTTACTGGTTTTGGTGAGATCGTGATTGCTTGTGTTATGAGCGCCTTTAGAGCTAGTCGGGGCGAGTTGTATTTGTTCATTAATAGCTTCCAGGCTGATTCCAGTGATGTGTGCTGTAGTGGCGCCTGATATTAGGTTGGCGGGTATTCCTTCTAGACAGTTACGCAAGTAATGTAATTTTTGTATGTCACTTAGCTTATTGCCTTGAAGCACTAGTGATTGGAACAGGTCTCTGAACGCAGGCCACGCAGGATAGTTTCCGTTGAATTTGGGAATGGGAATTTCCGGGAGGTAGGTCATTCCGCGTGGCTCCGCTGGCAGTATCTTTTCATCTGCACCCGTGAACTTTGGCGTTACTGTAGTCGTTGGACCTAATTCTTGACACAGTTTCATGATCAGTGCCGTGGCCTGGT